AACTGGAAGGCTAAGTCAGGGGGGGAAGTTGAAGCCGTGCTTGAAGCTTTTTTTGTAGGTAGACCCAGTCCTTTTTAAATTTTTTTTTCAAAATATGCACATTTTTTGATCAGAAAAATCTTGCCCCAAAATATTAGTTATACTACCAAATTTAATTTATATCAGTAGTATTATAAATGAATTTAATATTCGCAAAGCAAACAAATCACGAATTAGCAAAAAAAATGCGAAAAACACGACCATAAGCATGAACGGTCTGAAAAACCGCGCGTTTTAGGCTGCTTTTTCTGAGTTTTTGGAAGTTTAAGATAAAACTAAGACGTCATACCTCAGGAATTATTTAAACCCATGCAAAATACATCTGTATGCGAAGTTTCAAGAAGATTGAACGTTTTAAGGTCGAAAAAAAAGCATTTGAAAATTGACAAAAATATTGCCATATTCAAAGTGCTCATAGTGGCCAACAAGAAGAGCGATGACGAAAATAACATCACTTGAAAAACGCCAATTTATTTATGTTTTAGAAGGAATAAAACAAGGACTAAAAGCTCAGGATCAATAACAATACCTGGGGTTTAGTACAACATAAGTTTTGGGACTGTCAAAATGTTTTATAGTATATTTTTTTGAGTTGAAGAGCGAGGTTTCCTTCGGCACGTCCAAATTTTCGTCATTTTTTCAAAATACAAAAGCAAAATTCCTTACTTTTTACTGCAGAGAGATGTAAAACAGTTGGAACTAATCGGAAAACCTGGTTTGAATCCCAATCATTGTTGTATTCCCATGGAAAAAGTGTTTTTCTTGCAAATTTTTGCTAGAAAAAAAATTTTTGACAGAATTTTTTTCACTCCTCAAAACTCGCCTTAGTCTTTTTGAAAGCTGATTTTCCCGCGCGCCGGCTTCAACGAATCATAGACCTTCAACATAGCAGTTAGCCTTCCAGTTATTTATAGTTCAATGATCCAAGCTAGTCCGGCTGCCAATTTGTGAAAAAATCTTCGTTTGTATATTTGCTGACATCTTACTACTGATATCTTACTGACATGCACACAAAGCTGCTGACTAATGTAAACTAAAAAAAACTTGATGGTATGTTATTCTGTTCTTGTAGATCTCTCACGCCTTTTTTCTACTGTACGTAGTACTGTAGGAACAACATCAACAATGGCTATACAACCGACTTTTATCACTCAAACAAAAGTGAAGACCTCAAGCATTCTCAATGGAATTTCATCCTACAAAGAGATGATCTATTCTTCTAGCAAAGGTTTTACTATTACGTTAGAAAGTACATGTAGCTCATCAGTAGGCAATTCCAGCTTTTAGCCATATGCGTGCAGGAGGAGATGGGAAGTAAGGTATCATATTGCTGATTACGCTGAAAAAAATAAAAATGGTGACCGTGTAAACACGGAGTGATAGCTTATACTTGTAAATATTGAAATATTTCGGTTGTTTCGGCAGGTTTTATTGAAAATTTTCAGCATAATCAACAATATGATACCTTACTTCCCACCACCCCTGCGCGCATAAATTAAAAGCTGGAATTGCCCATTGCCCTTCAAAAAATTTCAATTTAATGACATGAAAATGTTTCAACCAACTACCACCGAATTAATTTTACCAACAAGTAGGGGTTGGACAAGATATTCTATTTCCTGGGACCACAAGGGGCAGTTCATATAACTTTACGTTAACTGCTTTGCTGTAACAAATTCGATGTTATACTCTATTGGATTAAACAACATTTATAAAACCAAAACTACTGCTGATATTGCGTATACAATTATATAAGTTTATTGTTTAGGGTAGATTGCACTCCAGTATACAGTAGGCATGCTGCAGGTTGGAATGGTTAGTGTTGCTGTTTTAATGGGGTTTAGGATGCACTTCATCCGCATCCGCTGACAGCAGTTTTTTTCTTTTGATTTAATATTTTGCTATTTTCTTTCTGCTGACAACAAAAATTTTCTGGTACCAATCCCATGTTCCGATTATACCATTTTCCCCACTTATACCAATTAGCACAAAAATGGTTCCCGATAACCAAATCATCAATAATTTCAGATAGCAGCAAGATGGTCGAATTGGTGAGCAGCAAGTCTTCTCCTGATCTGTTGTTACAAGAGACATTATCAAAAATGATGGACACATCATCAAACATGATGAAAATATCAAGCACCATGCAACATATGACAACCAATGAAATGTTGCCAACATCTTCTATTGTGCCTCAATTATCATCTATAATTGGAACTTCTTCATACACTATGGATGTGTCAGATAACCATACTACAAAAAGTATGGTTAATACCACGCAAACCCCTTCTTTGGGCAACACACTCTTTTCCTATGATATGCGTGAAACAATTGATGCGAAGAAAAACAGTTCAATGGCGGAAACAGCAAGTCTTACCGCTACTTCATCTCATCCCTCCGATGACACAACAAGCAGTCAGTTTCCAAAACATCCCCAAATATCATCGCCTCAAGCACATTCTTCCCACTTCGTACTTAGTACATCAGCTAAGACAAGGCAAGTTTCAACAAACTCAAGATACCAACAGTCTACAGTCATCCTCGAAAGTTCACCTCGATTCACTTCAACAGCTGATGGTCTGCTTTCGAAAACGATTATTCTCGTAAAGCCAAGTTCATATCATGCAACATCTTCAATGTCACATGCCAACGGTAAATAAGCTCTCTTTATGTTATTTTTCCTTCAGTAGTTCAGTGCGTCAATATTTTACCCCCATATTCAAAAGGAGACAGGATCTGATTTACGTCCTTTAATCATTACTCGACAATTAATTGCTGCCGAAGGCAGCATACTATTCTTCACGGTGTTACTGTAGTGCCCAGTTTCTTTGACCGAGTTATAATTATTGGACGTGAAATCTCGATTTTCATCTTATTGAGGGGGTCAAGGGGGGGGGGGGCGATCATGTCGGAAATATTCATCGTACGTTACGTCCCAGCACACGACCAGTCGACC